GTGGACTTCTCCAAGTTTCTTTAGGTTTTTGAGCCACACCCTGACATGCCGTCAGACACAGGTGACTGAAACTTGAGGAAGAACCCTTGTTCTTTTTCAAAGGGATACACAAAAAGACACTGTCAACTTTTACTTCAGAATGAGTGTTGTGCCATCCGAGTTTCTATTGAACGAGCTTTTCTGGTTACTGTACACAAACCGCTGACACATTGTGTCTAGGATTGCCAAAGAGACTATTTAGTGCAACATAAAACCCTTATAGTACTAATATTATATGATTATAAGCAATATTATGGTAATTACATTTAATACAATGGGTCGTGGACAGTTTTTTTTTGGCCATAAGACTGTGAGCCTGACTATTGTAAATAGGATAAAATATGCCAACCAAAATGTTTTGGATGTCTGTATATGTTAGGCACGATGATCAATATATTTTTTGATACATAAAATCACCATTGTCTCTGTAAACAACTGTTTTCAACTCATTTTACTTATGAGCTACTCAACGTTTCCTACAAGGTGACTCAGTCAGTCTCTGTGACGGCAAATTCTAGCTGAGTAAAGGCAGTGTTATCAGACAGCAACTGAACCAGTTTGGGACGTAGTGCCCTGAGAGCAAGTTCCTGGAACAAATACACGTGGAGTCCAGATCAGCAGGTTTACAGGTGTGAAGAAACTTTGTTACCTGGAATCTCAAGCACTACAGTATTTCCAGTATATAGGGTTATCATTATCCAGTATTGACATTAACCGTTAAACTTCAATTAGATTTTAGATTTATTTTCAGCATTGTGCCAGAGGGTTAATGTAAAGTTATCCAAAGGTTTGCAAAGACAGGGGAGAGAGTCTTAACATTTGAAACATAATATTATTTTTTCATTTAGAAATTAGTTGATGTTAGATTCAAAGGGAAACTCTAACTGTAAATTTAAACAATTAAAATGCTGGTAAATTGATTGTACATTGTCTTGAGACTTTTGCATATTATAAATATATATTTTATCTTTACTTTGAAACTATTCCCCTTGAAGAAAAAAATACTAACCATAGAGGTATTGTGCACAACGATCATAAATTCATATTGGATCTCGTTCTAACAATCGTTTTCAGAATCTTTAGTCTTGTTTTTTATTATTTGCACAGTGGTGGTTACATTTATAAAGTTTGATCACAGCTGTAGTAAGTTTTATTTTAAGACGAAACTATGAATATTGTGATTTTTGTAAGGCTAGTTAAGCCGTCACTAACTGTTAATAGGTAATTTGAAGGCAAGGTTAGGATAGCATGTGAATACACTAATGTAAACATAGTAAGAGGAAATTCTAGGACAAATGAATGGAAATAAGTATTGATGTGGTTCTCACGATCATGAATGTTTTGTCAGTGCAGACTGCCAGTACTGTCGGTAGGGGGAGATAAAAACTCGTAATTGTAATAAAATAATATTTTCTTCCCTTTCAAGTGCGAGTTAATATTCTAAGAAAATAAGTCGCATTTTTTTTTTTTTTATTCAGTGGCTTACACCCTTTCATACTGTTATATTGAGTTATATTGTGTTTTGATACTGCTATGCTTCCTTAACTAGCCTACCTTCTAAACACTGTTTAGAGGGTAGAGTAGACAACACTATTTTTTTATTTGACATTATATAAACTTAGGTTAAAATAGTTACGGGTGTTAATTTTTACGGGTTAAAATTGTTCCCGATATTCATTCATTCATTCAATCATTTAGCTGTCTTTAATTGCAATTAAGCTTGATTCACAAACTCATTTTTAAATACGTCATTTTCAATTTATATGAGTAGGCTGTATTTATAATAAACATGTAAATACATATATTTATCTACAGCCACTGTGCAAAATTTCATACATTGATACTGCATCTCATTCAAAAATAATCTTTTGTGAAATTTTTGTCATTTTTGTTTACAGTGGTGGCTTACAGTTTTACAAAGGAGCATAGGCCTATGTATTTTTGGCTGAAAATACGGTTGATTTTTGTAAAGCTAATAGACGTAGTTGTTAATATGGCGTCTGAGCTGTTAGGATAGCATGGGGATGTACACCAATGTAAACAAAAAGGAAATAGCTGACTTCATACGTGGTCTAGGACGAGATATGCATTTGATTTGGTTCTCACAATATTAACTTGGTTTAGTCACTATACAGACTTGGCTCCAGTGATGGGAGCGCTTATTAAAATTCAACCTTCAGAAACCTTATTTTAGCGAACAGTACAGAAGAGTGCCTACAGTACAGACAGAAGGAAAGTTGTTCAGAGTTTCCTCTGCTGTGGTACACTGGTACAGTTAAAACAATTAGTTCGAATTAGTTAAGCATAGTGTGATTGATAAACTACATCTTCACGTCTTCTTGTCAAGCTGAAATGCTTGCAGAAAAACACATCACTGCGGCGCCGGCATGATATGCTGTATTTAATCTAAAACTATTTTAATACGCATTTTTTATTGACCTTATTATTATACAACACACGATTACCTGGTAAATTTATATAACGTAATATTTGTAGTTTAAAAAATGACTGTCGTCACGCTGTGGATTGAGAACTAAAGAATTGCAAAAAATTATATCGTGAACACTTTTTAAATGACCAGATACCGTGACCATTTAAACCTAAAATGTATAAAGTTTATATAATATATAAGAAAATCATGTTGTTTGTCAACTATTTATTCGAGAAGGTAGCTTAAGGATGTAAATTCTACCACAATTAGCATCAAAATAGTGCTGATATAACTATGATTATCAGTGGAACTGCTGGTAACAGTAGTACAATTGTAGTAGTCAGTGTTTGCTTTCTGAAGGTCAAGTAACGGGCTTGAGAAAGTGAGTCGAGTGTGTGGCTCTGGAGAAGCTTGCAAAGCGTGGGCTTCCCTTCTAGAAGCTTCTCTTAATAGTCCTGTGGGTGACATCATTTTTAAAAGTACAAATATCCCACACAATCTTACTATTAATATTAAGAAAATAAAACAATGCATCTTAAATGAGAATAATTAAATAATTTTAAGTATAGCATGTCACAATGCTTGATACTGTTCCTGATTCAGCACTTTCAATTTTAATCCATATTCTGCAGAGATTTTGTTCATTATTAATCAGGCTTATGTAATGATAAATGACTTTCCTCAAATACCGCCAGCCAGATTTATCCTTTTTATATTCCCCCATGTTTAAATATACAAACTGTCCTGAGAAGCTTACTGTACTAATCCACCACAAACTGTGTATATTAACATTCCACTTACTGCTTTATCTTTAAAAGTTATGAAAGCTTCCAAATAATATACATACAGTAAATCGATAGGGGGGATTTTCCTGGTCAAGAAACTAGTAGCTGAAAAAAGCTCCTGTAAAACATTACAATGGTGTTATCAAATACCAATTTCACAAATTTATACAACACAACATTTTAAATAACCTTCAAAATTTATTAATGACATGTTTCTTGCGCTCTGAACTAGTTTGAAATGAATGTCTATGTTACATGAATTAATGAGACTTTTCTCCAAAAGACGTGTGGCCCAGTACACAGAAAAGCCCAGTGTTTTCAACACATTCAAAACAAAATTTCCAGAGTCCTTCCCCTAATCTTCATACACATGTGTGGTCCAGATTAGGGGGGTCCGGAGGGTCTTTATCCTTAGCTCAGGGTGTAGAACTTGTCTGTTGAACTTGCCAGGTGCTGGTTAATAAAATAAAAGTCCAAGAACAAAAAAAATATAAGCCATAAGATCACAAGAACTTGATTCATATCAAAAGGGGGAAAAAAGTGTGTTAGTAAAAAATATATCTTGTGTTTTGGCACTAATCAAGTTGAGATAGCATAATACTTAACATTTATCTCCCAACTAATTGCTAGACCAACAAGCAAAGGCATAATTCAATGCCAGAGAACAACGGCAGTGATAAATGTCGCCTGTCTTTTCCAAAACTTGTTCTTAGTGAGTAAATGTGGCCAAGATTTTGCTGTCAAAATGGCTTGCAACTTCGTGTAGAGCAAACGTTGGACGGAGAGAACGGTTTTAAAGAGAAGCATTGTGAAATACGAAGGTACCAAATAGTGATGGCCTCTCATATGGCGCTTTTCCACTGCGTGGTACGACTCGGCTCGGTTTGCGTTTCCACTGCAGTTTATGCTGCGTTCCAGGCAGGTTTTTGAGCCCGTAAGTCACGACTTCAAACCACGACTCACGACTTTGTAGCGTTCCAGGCAAGTCACGCCAAACTGCCTGAGCGTAAGGAATTGTAGTAACTAGATGTAAACAAACTTCTAGAATAAACAGATTATTTTGTTATACAAGTATGTCATTTCTGCACTACCCCCTGTATAGGCTCTGTGCACAGCTGCAGTCTTGACAGAAAGGGGCTGCCATTGTTGTTTCGCGGGCTATGTGACGTCAGAGCGCGGAACTGGGAGTACATCGATCTAGTACGAGTTCACGGGTGGGAAATCACGGGTTTGACTGCCGTTCCAGTGCACTTGCACGGGTAGAAGGTTGGAAAAACACGGGTTACGGGTTGCCTGGAACGCGGCATTAGTACCACTTTAGAGTGGGCGGGATTGTTCACATGTCATTATAGTTTCGCCGCCTCTATTGCCGCGACTCTTGAAAAACTTTTTCATTCCGCGTCGCCCCATCAAGCTCTCGCTGGATCCGCTCCTCTGCTATCAACGAGAGGAACGTCTGTACTTCCTCAACAGACAACGAAACAGCCATTTTTTGGTTGTTAAAAAAAGGTGCGCTCGTTCAAAACAGTTGCGTTCGATCCTTTGCTGGCTTGCTGATTTAAGTCTAGCGGGTCTGTTGTGTCTCATGTTGCAAGTTCAGTGACGCAGGTAGTGACGATTCTCTCTGGCCAATCAGTGATCAGCAGAGTTTACACGTCACGTTTTGGTAATGGTACGGTTCGCATGGAACCTCAACCGAGGTAGTACAGAAAAAAGTACCAGGTACCAGGTACTGTACCCAGTGGAAAACCCCCCAAAAGTGAACCGTACCGAACCGTGCCGTACCATGCAGTGGAAAAGCGCCAATATATTCCCAATGCTTGCAGAGTTAGCTGTGGAAGTCCTGAACTCTTCAAATCCTTCACACAGGTTGACTCAAGCCAAAGGCAATATGGGCAAACACAAAAACAAAACAATCGTTTTACTAAAACAAAATAGAAAAATAACTTGAAGCCAAAAAAAATTCAAGATGGCATTTCATGGTAAACAAATACTTTACAACGTGATGGTCTAAGCTTTGCTTATTTTACAACAAAAACAAAAAAATACCCCTACGTACCCTAACAAAACGACTGTGAGAACCCAATGGCAATAATGCAACAGTGGTGGTTGATTGAGTACATATGAACACACATGTATCTCAGTTTAAACAGAGTACATCTCTGCAAATGTGAGTGTATTAGTTTTTGAGACCCTGAATGCATCTGCACACAGATTAGCGTGTCCATCATCAGATTCTGTTCCCTCTCGTAGGTGTTACATTGTCCCAAGAGGTTCTCCAAAACGGATCTTCTGGCCTGCTTTCAAATTAAAGGTAAAATCCCGTGGAGCTTCGAATAACAGTACAATAGTAGAGCCCAAGTTGAATTCGCCCAGGTGTTCTCCTTTTCTCATGCTGACGCCTTCCCGGTTGTTGTTTGTTACGTAGCTGAAGTCATTGTAAGTTCCTTTGCTGTATCGAGGGTTGTTGGTACGGAGCTCCTAAAGAGAAAAAACACTTGTTATTGAAACTGCACTACAACCAAATGGTTTGCCTTTTTAAAATCCAACTATCCTCTAAATCTGGTACTTATAACAGATGGGGAACCTCTCTATTTATTTTATTACAAATAAAATCCATTTGATTTAGGGAAAACATGTACTTTAAGAAATGTGGTATTATGAAATAAGCAGGGTCACATTTCTGAGGTCGCATCCTGCTACTCAAACAGGTGTCACTACCATCTACTTTCAAACACTCATCTCACCCATTAACCCACATTGTTACACAAGCCCACTACTGTCTAGTGGTCTGATTGCGGCCCATTAGAAATGAGGCCAAATCCACTCTTAGCGGTGTAGCTCAATATTCTGCTAATGCTGAATGCTGAGAAAATATATCATACGCCAACAAGAGTGATTCTGCGGCAATTCAGAAATTAAACCATATAGGCCCCAATATACTTCAAGCAAAAGAACTGGGCCCTCACTTATCAACAGTGCATAGAAAAGGTTCTATATTTTGTCCTACAAATGAAATTTAGAATGTAAGTACAAAAAAATCTCTATTATTTAATGCGACCATGCAGTTCTTACGCACACCAGTAAGTAATCATTGTTGATAAATCCTACATGTTCTTGAGCACCATGCTTGTTTACATTCATGGTCATTTGCATTCAGAAACGCCTCCAATGAACCATATATGGTAACAACACCTCCCTTTATAAATCACGTGAATGTGAACGGCAAAGTACCGACTGAGAAGCCATTCTGTGCTCTCACTAAACAGATCAGCGTGGTCTTTGAAAATGCGTTCACTGCACAGCGCATGGTTTGCCGAATTTTCCAGCGAAGCGAGATCAGCCATGACACTATAGCTACATTTCAAATGACTTCCCAGCTGTCTTTTATAGTTTTTCACACCAATTACGTCTAGCTTGAACTATGAAATTATTAATTGAGTATTTGCAATTAAAGGACACTTTCTTTTTGTAGTATCACCATTCTACCACTAGATTCTCTGTGTAAGCATGCTTAGAGTTGTGCTTATATTTACAGACATTTCTACGTAAAATTACAAGTTGGTAGATCCAACACTTTTTGTGAAACTGTTCTTATGCACTCATTATGCACACATCATCATTTATCAACTTATTACGGTTGATAAACGAGGGCCCAGGTGTTATATCATTTGTGACCCTGGACCACAAAACCAGTCTTAAGTCACTGGGGTATATTTGTAGCAATAACCAAAAATACATTGTATGGGTCAAAATTATAAAAAAAAATTTATGCCAAAAATCACTAGGATATTAAGTAAAGATCATGTTCCATGAAGATATTTTGTAAATTTCCTACCGTAAATATATCAAAACGTAATTTTTGATTAGTAATATGAATTGCCAAGGACTTCATTTGGACAACTTTAAAGGCGATTTTCTCAATATTTCGATTTTTTTGCACCCTTTCAAATAGTTGTTTCATATCCTAACAAACAATACATCAATGGAAAGCTTATTCATTCAGCTTTCAGATGTTGTATAAATCTCAATTTCACAAAAATGGACTCTCATGACTGGTTTTGTGGTCCAAGGTCACATTTCAAACAACGGTCAAAATCAGGCCAAAACAAAGTTCCTTCGGAATTCATCTCGGATATGAAGTCCTCGCATATACGCATATGCGACAAATAAATCACTCGCATATGCGACTAAATCTTACTCTGGGCGACTAAATGATGTCTAATATTAGCCAATTGCTAATAAATTATCAGATTTTACTCTCCAGTGGGAGTTGGAGGCTAAGTATAAGTTTAGCTCAGATATATTTTCACTCGCCGAACACTCTCTGACTGAGCGCATCAGAGTTTCACTCTCCACCAAGCAAGCTGTGCTGTTTTTCAGTTCATCTGTATGGGAAGCCAAACAACCCAAAAGTGGGATGAAACAGCGCGGTATTACAGTGTTCGTGCCGCGCTGACCTGTCATCGGCGCGGCTCAATGGACCGAGCTGCGCGACCGACTTGACAGCGCAGAGAGGACGTGTTTACTAGCACCACCGAGCTGGCAGCGCGGCGCTGATCAGTTACAACAGCGCAGCGCGAACATTACTCTCCGCAGAAGTTCGTGTTTTTTTCCTGCACATAACATAATGAAGAGTTATTACATTTCTTTTGCTTATTATCTTTCATATTACTACATGTAAACAGTAGTGTTAGCTACTTTGAAGCATGTATAGCCTATATTTAGTAGTCACATTCACAGCAGAAACTTCCATTATCCTCTTAGAATTAGAGTTTCGTTCATCAAGGCATATTTTAAGTACATTTTACATTTAAGGATATTTGTGTAACTGTAGCATATGATTA